CGGCTCCCAGACAGCGCCCTTCTCCAGATGCCCCAACGGGTCTTCCAAGGAAACATGCATCCACTGCCAGGCCCAAATCGCCCGCTCCAAAAGCTGAGTGACATACCACGGGCACACCTCCCTAACGTCGATCATGTCCCCTTCGTGCGTCAGCTACTTAAACGGTTCCATCGCGGTCCATCCCACGCGCTCGAGAGAAAGCCAGACGGCCCCGCAGGGACCTTGAACCTGCGTCCAGTGCTTGATCCCCTGGCAACCCAGCGTCGAAGCCTCCAGAATGCGAACAGGCACCCAAGACCCCCAGAGGGCCCGCACAAAGGCCACAATCGGCAGCAGCGTCGCCTTGTACATCGGGTCAATCTTGCCGTAGCACATGAAGGAGAAAGTCCGACTCTTACCAGACGTGCGGGGCTCCATCGCCGAGAAGGCCAACGCCCGAGCAGACACTAGCTCACCGCAGTTACAGCCCGTGACCGACATGCCATGCGAACGACTTGCCTCAATACCCGCACGAGCAATACGCGCACCAACGAGACGTTTTTTGGTTCCTGTCCAGAACTTCTTCACGCGCCTGACCTTCAATCGCGCTTGGGTCACCTTAGTCCGTCGAACAGTTCTCGTGATACGCCTGCCTGCAGTGCAGTCCACGCCGGGGTTCCTCTCATGCTGCGCCGCTAGCGCCCCTGTGGCTCGGGCCAGCTGACGAGCAATCACAGTGCGGGCCTCCGCATCATTAGAGAGAACGCGCGTCTTGTCAGCGTGCACCTGCAGATCATACCTTGGTGGCCCAGACAAGCTCGCGACACGCGCGATCACGACCGCCAACACGCTGCAATAACAAGTCATCTACCACAACCATGTGGATCACCGTATGGTGTAATGCATGCACCTGGTCCAGGGGAAGGTTCAGCGCCAACTTGAGCATTCTTGTCGCCCAGCCGTCCCTTGGGAAAACGGTTTGCTCAGTCACTAATCCGATATAGCTCCACCTGAAGCCGAAGTTGCCGCGGAAGGGGACCCAGTAGCCACCGCCGCCTGCAGAAGCCAGTGATGCTGGACCTGTTCAAAATCCTTCAGGAGATCCAACAGAACCTGCGCGGAGCACCAAAGACCAGGACAGGAATCCCGAGACTTACACGTAGCCCACTCAGACCAAGCTGTTTGTTGCCATACGGCACGCTCGCAAGACCTCCCAGCACAGGCCCAGGAATATGAGCGATGATTCGCCTTCTCCCAAGGCAAAGCCAGAGGCCTCCGAGGTCGAGCTTGCGCCCTCGCCAATACATGTATCAGTGCAATAGGTCCCACACCTCCCAGTCTCTTCTGCAGAAAGGCTATCTTCGCACAGAACGTGGGCCACTGCGCCGACGCCTCAATCGCCATAATCAGATCAATGAACCACTCCGGAGCCTCATCGTCCAACTCCAACAGTTGACGCGGCCGTATGGAATCGAACCCCATTCCAGTAGCCTTCTTGAGCGTCCTCAAGGCCTTACGCAGCTGCTCTACGCTCGGCCTGGGAGGCCGTACGCCCAGGTCCGCGGGCCAGCTTGCACACTCATGCCACTTTCCCACCTTCCACCACCTGGACCACTCATCTTGCAACAGGCTCATCTCACGCTGCTTGTGCACGGGCAGATGGGAACGCTCGCGATCAGGTGCACACGGAACCCAGGGCACTTTCTCACGCGTGATGGCGAAAAGGCTTCCAGCACCAGCCCCCGCTTGGGCTGTAACCCACTTCCGAAACTCTCGAACGCGGTTCTTCATGTCGCTGTCAGCCAGCTGCGAAGCACGAAGTTTGACGCCACTCGCCAGTATCTTGATCGCGCCTATCTCCAATCCTTGCAACGGAATAAGGGGCAGAATGCTCCACCACCTTCCCACGTCACCGTCTGGCACAGACGTCGCAGCCGCTGGCGCCGTCCTCAGCAGTTTTCTTGCCGAGGCCAGCGCGCGAATACGGGTGAGAGGCTGTATCCAACATCCTACAAGGGTGAGCGCCGTACCCGGACTACGGAGCCACAGAACTGCAGGAGATACCCTCGGGAATGTGGGGGGCAGCTTAGGTAAGGCATCCACCCATTTCGGCTCAACGCACTTCTCGCGACCACACATCTTACGAGCCAAATCGGGAGTCACCTGATACACATCAACCCATTGATGTTCAGCCGCAGACACGCAAGCCTCCCATCCCCGAGACAGGTGCTCCTGCGAGACCTCCCCAGACGGCATAAGCTGACGAACAGTAGCCCGCATGTTCTCCATGTCGAAACGCGCGCAGCCAGCAGGACGCTCATCAGGAAACAAGCGATGTACGGTATGTTCTCATCTTCGGCCTCCCGACAGTAGACACAATCTGCAAATTGACCGCCGAGTGAGGGCTAAGGGGATCTTCGGGGTGCACTGTTGCGACCGTCGCCTCAAGACCGTCTGAGACAATGAAGTAATCCAACGTGCGCCCCGCAGGGGCACAAGTCCCGACACGGGGAGCCACAATAACTGCATCGGACCATTCCATGGCTCCTGCCGACACGAGATCACCTGGCTCATTGTTGAAGTCACCCGCGATCACATACGGGCGTCCAACCATGCGCACGCACTCTGCCACTGAAAAGAGGATATCCAAGTTAGCAGCAGACATCCTAATCTTGCCATAGAGAGACATTCACCAGAAGCACACCTGCGGTCGAGAAACCTGAATGCAAACAGCAAGCAGCGCGGCCTGGCACGATGATACAGTCTACCCCCTCAATCACTCCGAGCCCATGATGCTGCGAACAACAACACAACAAACCTCCACTGCCTGCCTGATCCTCTTCTGCCAACGAGGCAATCAACGGCTGGCGAGATAAGACAGTTCCAGCCCGAAGTGCGAAGTCTACTCGACTCCTCCTCACACTCACGCTCGAATAGCAACGATTTCGCCTCCGTATCGTCAGTCGCCAAAAGATCAGCAAACGTAGAGAACATATTCGCACTCATGATCACAATCCTCCAGATCTTCGGGCTAGGAATGAGACCTCCCGTCGACTGATGCAGCAGCAGAGCGAAGCTTCTTGTGCGCCGCCTCCTGGAGCTCCTGGATACGGCGCTTCTTGTCCACATCCGACATCGGCATGTCAGGGGCAAGCTTCGCCACCATGGTGTCCCGCTCAGCATCAGACAAGACTTGCGCCTGCACATCATCTGGAACTGGCACACCTTCTCCACTGAGATCAATGACGCCAGCTGCTGCACTGCCGCCAGGGGCATCCTGCGCCACCGCCGCACCACCGCCGGCAGCTGCAGCGCCCTCAGGCACGTCCGCAGTCCCAGCGGCCGCTGCTCCACCACCTTCACGATGTACGGTGAGCGCCTGCAGCAGTGCAGTGAGCGGCTCCGCCAGCGCCGTGCCGACCTGCTCCTGCATGGCCTTTGAGCACCTTCGCCACGTTCGACGCCGCCGAGAACGCCGATTCAGCAGCGACGGGCTGAGCAGGCGGGGCACGAGCCGCCTTCGCCTTAGCCTCCTCCACCATCTGCTTGAGCTCCTTCTCCAGCGTACCGACCTGGGTCCTGGCCGACGCGAACTGCTCGGTAGCCTTTTGCAAGGCCACATTGGCCTTGTCGAAGGACGTGCGCGCCCGCTGCAGCTCCGTCGCCTTGCTGTCAATGGCCTGCTGCGCATCCTTGGCCTCTTTGACCGACACCAGGCCTTCGAACCCGTTCTCACGCTTCCATCGCATGTGCTTGAGCTTGTCACGGGCCGACTGAGACAACACAGCTGCGGCCGCATCAAACTGGGCAGAGGACATCTCCAACCAAACCTTGGCCTGTTCAACATCGAGAAGCTGCTGCTGCTGCTGCTGCTGCTGACCACCTCCACCTGATCCCTTGCTGCGACTACTGCCACCAGCCTTACGACGAGAAGGAGGCTCAAACACAGCAGGAGGTGGAAAAGCCCAAGCCCCACGAGTCGCCGCGTGCCAAGGCGGGGGCGCAGGCACCAAGGAGTAGCCTTTGGGCCCTTGCCCACTGCACCCCGCCTTGCGGCAGCGCGCGCGGAAACCGTAGTTGTGGTAGCCACAGGTCCCGCAACTCCAGCCTCCTCCTCCTCCTCCTCTCTTCTCCTCCTCCTCCTCCTCCTCCTCCTCCTCCTCCTCCTCCTCCTCCTCCTCCTCCTCCTCCTCCTCCCCCACCCCCTCGCGCCGTGAAAGCACTCGACGATTCGACGGTGATGGTTTGGATAGCTTTCGGCCTCAGGAGGCGCCTTCTGCCAGGAGGCCCTTTGGCCGGGTCGCGGGGCTGTCAACAAAAACGATATTGGGATGAGAGACAGGTGCCCTGGAAGGGGCCCAGGCTTTTAGGGGGCCATATTTCGTAAACGACGCAGTCGTCGGGTGTTTGGGGCTGAGGTCAGGGCACAGGCAAAATAGGGTCAGCCTCGACGGGGGTCGGCGCCACCACGCCTCCCTCGGGGTCTCTTTCTGGCCGACCTGGATCTGGGAACCGCGCGGGGCCGTCCCCTCCTTCACGAGCGGCGAAAGTGTCCGTATCCACGTCCTCCTGGTCTGGCCACCTTCCGCGCGGGGCATCCGCGCAATGCCGCCAATGATCTAGATATGGATATGGTTGTTTCCCGCCCGCGGTTCTGTCTGCCCTTCCGCCGCCCTGGTCTTGGAAGCCACCCAGACATCGGACGCTGTGCTGCGTTCGCGACGTGGACGCCGTATGAAACCCCGCCCTGTGGACCGACGCTTCCTCCCGAGCCGCTTCCTGCCTCGGTCTCCCAGGGGCCCGGCGAGAGTCCCCGGAGGCCGAACATTGTCCCCCACCCCCAGGAGGAGGAGGAGGAGGAGGAGGAGGAGGAGGAGGAGGAGGAGGAGGAGGAGGAGGAGGAGGAGGAGCAGGTCTGAGTCCCATCGTATGTTGCGCGGGGGCATCCATTGCGAACCCCGCTCCAGGGAGGGCGCTGCTTGCTTTAGCTGTCCCTGCTGTTTTTGGTCTGGCCCTCGAAGGTTCCGGCACCGGCGCCAGCGGCAGCGGCCTCGTCCAGGCCACCCGAGACTTCGCAAAGGTTTGGTGCGGATCGTGCCCCCAGGCTGCGTTCTGTCGTGGTGGACCACTGGTGCCGCGGCGATCCTGTCAGAGGCAACGAGAGGGGGGGGATACGCTCAGGGGGGAAGGCATCGACCCCACATCGCGCCTACGCCTACGTATTTCTCGCCGATCCGGGCCTGGGCGCCCCAGGGCGCCCAGGAACGTTGGCTTTCCCCGTCGGGGGGGCCTGCCACCGATTTGTCGGCGATGCGTCGCCGATTTAAGCTTTCATTCGGGCATGTCCCTCTACAGGAGTACTATCCAAGAATAGCCAACAAAATAGTATGAGGACGACTTTTTACTATTTTAGATTGTTTTTGTTTTTTGACTATTTTTTGCATTTTTCCTAGAAGATCCGCCTGCAGGGGGAGGACATGCCCGACCAAATTCAGGCTTCATGTCTCCCTCCCCTGAGCTGGTCCCCTCTATCGTCCCCCCCCCCAGCCTCGCTTATCGGGGGCCCCTGAGGGACCCGATAAGCGTCCGTTGCCAGCCCAACGGCTCAGCATTCGGCGGCTTGCGTGTCCCTATCAGCCCGTCGGTCCATGCCCAGAACAAGGGCAGGGCGGCGTGTGTGCCTGCGCTTATCAGCTCTACGTGGGGGCCCTCTGGGGGCGCTCCCTCGTCGCCGCGCGCCGGGCCTTGATCGGGGAGCGCTACCAGGACGATGCACTGAGGTGGTCTCGTGGTCAGGTTTGCGTCGAGCTGGTTTTGGCCAGAAGGACGAACGTGTGGGGGGTGGTTGGAGGTGTCCATGGCCACAGGTGTCTCCATATTTGCGCTCCATTTTGGAGCCCCCCCCTGGGACCTTTGGGCCTCGTGATGGGTGCTCTGGAGGCCGTGGGGACCTCCTTGTGGGGACCTCCTTGGAAATCCTTAGGACACCTTGGGCCATGGACACTTCTGGAAACACCCGGACATTCCATTCTCGAAAACCAGCAACATCACATTAACGGGAACGTCCGAGGTCCGCGCGGACCTCCGAAAGTCTTCGCTTCTATGTTGTTGTTGTTGCTGTTGTTGTTGTTGGTGTTGTTGTTGTTGTTGTCGTTGTCGTCGTCGTCGTTTTTGGTTGTTGTGGTGGTTGTTGTTGTTGTTGTTATTGGTGGTGGTGGTGGTGTTGCCGTCGTCGTCGTTGTTGTTATCGTTGTTGTCGTTATGCTTGTTGTTGTTTGTGGTGTAATAGTTGTTGTTGCTGTTGTTGCTGTCGTTGCGGTTGTTGTTGTTGTTGTTGCTGCTGCTGTTGTTGTTGTTGCTGCGGTTGTTGTTGTTGTTGTTGTTGTTGTTGTTGTTGTTGTTATCGTTGTAGCTGTAGTCGTTGTAGTTGTGGTTGTTGTTACTGTTGTTGTTGTTGTTGAACTCTCATTTCTGAAGAATAATTCTTGTTGAACCCCCCGCCCGGTACAGACTGTATTTTTTCGATTGAAGTGCCCCTCCCGGGGCTCGCACCTCGTTTGTTATCAGGGAAAGTCTTGAGGCTCAGACTGTGTCGTTGGCCCTCGGTTTACAACAACGGCTCCCGTCTGATATTTCTTCACAATTTATTGAAGAATCGCACTGTCGCTTGGGACCCTCGCAATTTACCACTGAGTCGCGGCTCCCGCTGGATACTTCTTGACAATTTCTTCCCTATCTAGGCTCTGCATAGAAGGGTTCTTACTTTATAAGCTTAAAGGGCCGGGCAGTGCTCCTCGCCCCGGGCGGTTTCCCCGGCATCCGCCCCGCAGTTCCCCCAGTCCCCTGGGAGCTTTAGCTTTAGCTTTACCTTTAACTTTAGCTTTAGCTTAGCTTTAGCTTAGCGTTAGCTTAGCTTTAACTTAGCTTTAGCTTAGCTTCAGGTTAGCTTCAGCTTAGTTTTAGCTTAGCTTTAATTGAGCTTTATTTTAGCTTCAGCTTAGCTTTAGCTTAGCGTTAGTTTAGCTTTAGCTTAGCGTTAGCTTAGCTTTAGCTTAGCTTTGGGTTAGCTGTAGCTTAGCTTTAGCTTAGCTTTACCTTAGCGTTAGCTTAGCTTTAGCCTAGCTTGAGCTTAGCTTTAGCTTAGCTTTAGCTTAGCTTTAGCTTAGCTTTAGCTTAGCTTTAGCTCAGCTTCAGCTCAGCTTTAGCTCAGCTTTAGCTTAGCTTTAGCTTAGCTTTAGCTTATCTTTAGCTTAGCTTTAGCTCAGCTTCAGCTTAGCTTCAGCTTAGCTTTAGCTTAGCTTAAACTTAGCTTTAGCTCAGCTTTAACTTGGCGTTAGCTTAGCTTTAGCTTAGCTTTAGCTTAGCTTTAGCTTAGCTTTAGCTTAGCTTTAGCTTAGCTTTAGCACAGCTTCAGCTCAGCTTCAGCTTAGCTTTGACTTAGCTTTACTGTTACTACTAATGCTGCTTTCCTAGGGGCTCCAACTCTTAGGTAGGGTCGCGCTGGGATAATTGCAGAATCGCGTTCTCGCTTGGACGTTCCTCGCAACTTGCCACCGAACCGCTTCGCTTGATATCTCCTCACACTTTATTCAGATGCCGGTCCTCGACACTCAGGAATCGCGCTCCCGCTGCATATTGCCTGGCGGTTCAAGCAGGACTCACGCTTCAACGACCCGCCCGCTCGACCCGCCCGTCGGGGCCTGCCCGCCCGACCAGCCCGTTAATGCCTGCAGTCGCCGCTCGCTGCCCTTCGCCCGCCTTCGATGCCCCTCGCTGCCCGCGCTGGTTCCGCGGTCGCTTTCGCTCGCTGCCCTTCGTGGCCCCGTTGCTGCCGTCAGTGGCTCCGTCGCTGCCCTTTGTGGCCACGCAATATATGCCCTTCGTGGCCCCCGCTCGCACGCGCCCGTCGTGGCCCCAGACGCATGCCCTTCGTAGCCCCGCTGTCGCCCTTCGTGGACCCCCTCGCTGCCCTTCGTGGCCCCTTTGCTGCCCTCAGTGGCCCCGCTGTCGCCCTTTATGGCCCCGTATGCGACTGCCCTTCGTGGCCCCCGCTCGCTCGCGCCCGTCGTGGCCTCATATGCATGCCCTTCGTGGGCCCGCTGTCGCCCTTTGTGGCCCCCTCGCTGCCCTTCGTGGTCCCGTCGCTGCCCTCTGTGGCCTCGGATTTTATGCCCTTCGTGGCCCACGCAGGCTTTTCTCACGATTCACTTAGGAATCGTGCTATCGCTCGAGACTTCCTCGCGATTCATGCAGGACCCACGCTTCAGCAACCCGCCTCCTCGACCTCGTCGCCTGGGCCCGCCTTCCCGACCTGCCCGCTATGGGTCTGCCCACCCGGTCTGCCCGTCTGGTTCTACCACTTGTTTTCTGCTTTTTGCCCCCCTCTTGCTAATTTCTCTCGTGCTCCATTATTCTCCCTTACCCTTCCACCCGTCCTCTCTTTCCTTGTTTTAGGGACGTGGCAGGTAAGGAAGATATACCCCCAAGGGCGTACGATCGAAGACGACGAGGGCGGGTACCGAGGGTTTGATATACACGTATTGATTAGCACGTGAGCAGATAGGAACGATCAGTCTTATAATGTAGTAGTAGTCGTAGTAGTAGTAGTAGTAGTAGTAGTAGTAGTAGTAGTAGTAGTAGTAGAGTAGTAGTAGTAGAGTAGTAGTAGTAGTAGTAGTAGTAGTAGTAGTAGTAGTAGTCGTAGTAGTCGTAGTATTATTTTTATTATTATTATTAGTAGTAGTAGTAGCAGTGGTAGTAGTAGTAGTAGTAGTAGCAATAATAGTAGTAGTAGTAGTAGCAGCAGCAGTAGTAGTAGTAGTAGTAGTCGTCGTAGTAGTAGTAGTAGTAGTAGTAGTAGTAGTCGTAGTAGTAGTAGTAGTAGTAGTAGTAGTTGTAGTAGTAGTAGAAGTAGTAGTAGTAGTAGTAGTAGTAGTAGTAGTAGTAGTAGTAGTAGTAGTAGTAGTAGTAGTAGTAGTAGTAGTAGTAGTAAGTAGTAGTAGTAGTAGTAGTAGTCGTAGTAGTTGTAGTAGTAGTAGTAGTAGTAGTAGTAGTAGTAGTAGTAGTAGTAGTAGTAGTAGTAGTAGTAGTAGTAGTAGTAGTAGTAGTAGTAAGTAGTAGTAGTCGTAGTAGTAGTAGTAGTAGTAGTAGTGTAGTAGTAGTAGTAGTAGTAGTAGTAGTAGTAGTAGTAGTAGTAGTAGTAGTAGTAGTAGTAGTAGTAGTAGTAGTAGTAGTAGTAGTAGTAGTAGTAGTAGTAGTAGTAGTAGTAGTAGTAGTAGTAGTAGTAGTAGTAGTAGTAGTAGTGGTAGTAGTAGTAGTCGTATTATTATTATTATTAGTATTCGTAGTAGTGGTAGTAGTAGTAGTAGTAGTCGTAGTTGTAGTCGTAGTCGTAGTCGTAGTAGTAGTAGTAGTAGTAGTAGTAGTTGTTGTAGAAGTAGTAGTATTATTAGTAGTAGTAGTAGTAGTAGTAGTAGTAGTAGTAGTAGGAGTAGTAGTAGTAGCAGTGGTTGTTGTTGTTGTTGTTGTTGTTTTTGCAGCTGTGTGTGTTTCTTTTGTTGCTGTTGGCATTTCGGTTTCTGTTGTTGTTGTTGTTGTTGAAATCTCGCTGCAGAAAAAATATTGTTGTTATTCCCTCTCTGGGAACATTCGGTTTTTCAACTGAAGTTATTCCCCCAGGGCTCGTGCCATGTGTTTTTGTTTCAACCGGGAAAGTCACTATGCTCAAAATGGGTTGTTGGCCCCTGGATTACAGCAACACCAACAACGGCTCCCGCTGGAGACTTCCTCACCATTTAGCCAGGGCCCCCGCTCCCGCCTGAGACATCCGTGCATTTTTCTCAGGAATCGCGCTCTCACTTTGGACTTCCTCGCAATGCATTCAGGAATCGCTGTCTCGGCGCTCTGGAGTCGCGGTCTCGCTGGAGACTTCCTTGCAATCTGCTGAAGAATCGCGCTCTTGCGTCGGAATTCCCGCAATTTGCTCAAGCGCCGGGCTCCCGACACTCAGGCACCCAGGGGTCGCGCTCACGTTTAGGACTCCCTCACAGCTTATTTCGG